GCCTCGAACTCACAGAGATCCGCCTGGCTCTGCCTCCCGAGTGCTGGGATTAAAGGCGTGCGCCACCACCGCCCGGCAAAAGGGTTTTTTTTTTCAAAGAGCATGTGTGTGTGTGTGTGTGTGTGTGTGTGTGTGTGTGTGTGTGTGTGTATGTGTGTGTGTGTGTGTGCTCTATGTGCACGTACAACTTTATGCCAGAAGAGGGCATCAAACCCCACTATAGATGGTCGCTAAGACTTGAACTCAGGACCTCTGGAAGAGCAGCCAGTCCTCTTAACCGCTGAGCCATCTCTCCAGCCCCTAAAATACTTTTGTTTTGTTTTGCTTTGCTTTTCCTGACAGGGTTTCTCTATAGCCGTGGCTGTACTGGAACACCATCTGTAGACCCGGCTGGCCGTGAACGAAGAACTCAAAGATCTGCCTGCCACTGCTCCCCAAGTGCTGGGATTAAAGGTGTGTGCCAGCACTGCCCAGGTTAAAAGTATTTCTAACATATTATAAAGGAGAAATGGGAGGAGTGTGATCCAAGAAGCCTCAAAGGTCAGACCGTAGGACCTCGTGGGCTGGGAAGCACTTTGGATCATGGGCTGCGGAGAATAAAGGGCAACAGGAAGTGGGAGGAAGATGATGGACAGGAGTCTCTGACATCGTGCGGCTGAGAGGGGGTCAGAGGTCTGTTGAGGGCAGTAAATACGAAAGTTGTGACCAATGGACAGAGTCTGGGAAGCTTTCAATTTGCACTCTCTGAAGAACTGAATACGGAAAAGATGAGAGGGACCAAGGAATCTTCTTGAAGGTCCATCTCAGCCTGCTTGAGAGCTCTCAGCTCTGTCAATCTGCCTACACCTTCCCAAAACTCAGTTTCTCGGGTCCTCTACCCAGACCTCCAACATTGAACCTCTACACTCAATAATCCCTTGTCTGTTCCCAGGTTTTCCTTCTCAACCTGGCCCTCCTCCACCATTCGGATGCCTAGCACCCCTCCCTTTCAACCTTTGGCTTACATCATCACAGCAGAGTCCCAGCCTTGGGTTCTTTCTGAATTCCACATTTAGGGAATATCTACAATATGCAAATAATTGTGTGACCTGCTGGACAGAGAGAGAAAGGCACAATGCAAACAATGTCTCTGCCTCCCAGACACACACACAAAAAAAGACGGGACGAAGTAAATGTGAACCAGAACCAGGGTTGATGGTCCCTGCAGGAGATCAGAGGCAGGCAGAAGTGAGCTGCAGAGGGTCCTGACTGGGCGTAAAGGCACCAACTGATCACCGTGTCCCGCGCGCACATTAACCTTGCTTCACGGCACTTCACATTTCAACTTCCATCCCCTCCTAGAATGGCCTGGAACAAGGAAGGTATTTTGTGAGTCTTGGAAAACCCCTTAACCTTCTCCGTCAGGGAGCTCAAGACATGAAGCTCATGGAGCCAGATGGAGAAGCAGCCACAGGAAGAATTGGGGCTGGGTGGGCTAGACTGAAGACACGGTCCCTAAGAATTCTCAGGCAAGTACCACCGGTAGGCATGAAGGACCCTGGTATCTGAGTTTCCTACTTCAAGAGAACCGGGACATCTAGACATTTCCTAGAATTCTTCCTAATGTTGATTATTTTGTGTGCATGTGTGTTACCGTGCTTGTGGGGAGTCATTTCTTGTAGGAGTCATTTCTCTCCTTCTATCCGGTATGTTCAAACTCAGGTCACCAGGCTTGGCAGCAAGTGTGCTGTGTTGTTGCTTTGGCAATCTTGGGGACTGACATGCTCCGCAAGTACGCTACCACCGAGATATGTGCACAGCCCCCTTTTTATTCTGAGACAGGGGCCACTCACTAAGTTACCCAAGCTGATCTAGAATTGCCTGAGCCTCCTGTGTAGCTGGGCTTACAGACCTGCCTGCACCACCAGCCCCCGTGTTTAAATTAAATGCTGTGGGGAACAACATTTTTAGATGAGGTATGGTCAGGAGATTCTGTGAGTTTGAGATTTCCAGAATCACGGTTGGTTAT